TATATATATATATATATATATATATATATATTTTTTTTTTAATGCAGCTGATATTAGTAGTTTATTCATCACTCTGCATATGTAATAGTTAAGCTGTTAAAGTTCACAATTAAACAGTATTCTCAGTTCGCTTCATTGTGCTGAGATGACTACCATAACATCCTGTATCTGCTTTCATATTGAAGAACTTTTGAAATAAAGATTGCCAACAGCTTGTCTGTGGTCTTAATGTAATATTTCTCTGAAATATTCAGTCTGAAATAGTTTTCAACAACTATAGTGAAAACTGAATCGGACTGCAAAAACATTTTAATTACAAATTATATTATCAGTATAATATTGCGTACTGTACTGCATTAAAATTTAAATATTTGATAAATGAATATGCTGCAAAATGTGTATTTTAAAATAATAATAATACATAGACTTTCTAGTATTTGGCTTTTGTTTTAATAACAGCATAACCATGACATGAACAAAAGCTGATTAATATACTCAAAAGATATATTATATATAAATTTATATATTTAGATTATTTAGAACAATGTTATATATCTATTTATCAACCCTGTTACCATCATCATAATTCAACTTATTAATGTGCAATGTACAATGTGCATTTTTATGATGTACAATTCCATAAAAATAAATAAATAAATAATAATAATAATAAACTCACCGTTTTGTCAACGTCTGTCTTTTTACTGTAGCCTATATTTTGTTCTGATTATCTGTAGAGGATTTTATGTAGTCAGTCCTATTATGTACAATAAACACTGTTACATAGAGCCTGACTCCCTCTACCGGTCAACAGTTTGAAGTGCAGTACCTTACTTATTTTACTTTGCTTATTACATTATTTATCTGTTGTTATCACCAATTTAAACCGCTAGAGGCCACTCTATAACAACTACCAGTTTCATCATGCAACTTTTTCCCCTGATGTAATTTCCAGCTAATGTTGTTAATAAAAGAAAAGAAAAGAAAAGAAAATATCCAGCAGAGTTTGGGTTTTTTCTGGAGCAATGAATCAATCTCAAAGTGTGTGTGTGTGTGTGTTAGACTCGCCTTGATTTAATTTTGGGGAATTTGTAGCCCATTTGATTCCAAATTGCTATGAATTCAAATCTATGTAATTAATTATTTATCTGTTGTTATCACCAATTTAAACCGCTAGAGGCCACTCTATAACAACTACCAGTTTCATCATGCAACTTTTTCCCCTGATGTAATTTCCAGCTAATGTTGTTAATAAAAGAAAAGAAAAGAAAAGAAAATATCCAGCAGAGTTTGGGTTTTTTCTGGAGCAATGAATCAATCTCAAAGTGTGTGTGTGTGTGTGTGTTAGACTCGCCTTGATTTAATTTTGGGGAATTTGTAGCCCATTTGATTCCAAATTGCTATGAATTCAAATCTATGTAATTTCGCTGAATGTTGTCACTAATTAGGCTGGTTAATCATCAAACTTAATTCAGATCTCCTTTGATTAGCCTATAGTAGGGAAACTAATGCAGATAATGCAGTGATGATTTTTTTTTTGATGCAAACATTCAAATTTATGAAAGAAAAGATTGCTTTGAATCTGACAGCTTATGAATGCCTCAATTTCCGGTAGAATAGAGCTGGAGATTCCTCATATCCTCAAGAACTCAAAGAAGAGAAGACATGACAAGGACAGGACAGCTGTAGAAAAAAGGGGAAATTTCTATCTATCTATCTATCTATCTATCTATCTATCTATCTATCTATCTATCTATCTATCTATCTATCTATCTATCTATCTATCTATCTATCTATCTATCTAATTAGCCCATAATAGACCCTAATCAGGTTATACCATTTTTAATTTAACGCGAATGAAAACGAGGCTGTGAGGCAATTTCTGTTGTATAAAGATCCTCAATCAAAAAAAAAAAATGTCTAGGCTATAGCGTTTTTGTCTGAATTTTTTTCTCAGAAAGACGTTTCGTCTGCTGAACAACAGTACACTGTACTTCAGTCCATCACAGCCTCGTTTTCAGTCCTGTCAAAAACATAATAATGTCTCAGTAATTTAGTGTAACTTCTGGTTATTCACATTTAATACCCGCCATAAAGTAGGCATATTAACTAATTAATCTCCCTCCTCTACCTCTCAAACTTTCCACCCAATCATCCCTCAGTCTGTGCTGTAGTATTTCATCGACCCGTGTTGCTATATTGGTCAGAGTTACTGAAGCGAGCTCAAGTGCCCATCTGTGTAGATTAGACCATTATCCTCTTAACTCCGAGTGTCTCTGCCTTCTCTCCTCACCGCTTCGCTCAAAAACGCTCTCAAATAAGAAGAAACTTTAAGTCTGGGGCTGATTCGCGGACTTTGGCCAGCTGCTGTGGCGCTCCGTGGATGCTGAAGTTCTCCAGAGTGGATCGCGGGTGTCTGGGCTCCTGTGGGGCCGCGCATGAGGAGCGTGTCTGATCTGCAGCAGACAGTAATCGCATCAGACCGGCTTCACCGTGCATACAAAGACCTGCAACAGTCTGGATCGAAAAAACGCCGTGTTTTGTTATTAAGGAGTTTAAAATGAGGAAGAACTGCATTTGAAACTCAGATCGGGATCTCAGAAGCATAAAGGACTGAAAATGCGCCTCCAGGAGAGAGTGATGGTGCTTCTTGCAGTGGTGTGGATGTGTAATTTCGCTCTTTGCGCAAGAAAGTCAAGTGCACGCAAGTCAGGTGAGTGTCATTTTCATTGCTCATCTTCTTTTGTTAAAATGTAGTTGTTCTGATTATTTGGCCATGCATACAGTGACCTCGACAAACTAGACACACGTGAGCATGTCTGAATGTCATTGCATTATGTACAAAATAGCAAACTGAGTAACATTTCTATTTTTTCATCTTAACTTATGTTTTAATCAGCTGGTGTTTGGTGATTTTTGGGTGATGCATAAAGTCATTTCTCCCTGACTTCACATTTTTGAACTGTTTAGCTTTATCATGCAAGCATGCCTTTTTGTGTAGCATGTTATCCATCTTTAAAATCAATGATATTTATGTTTTTTTTAATCTAATGTAATGACATTCACACATTGTTAAGCATGCATTTGGTTTCTAAATACTTTTTGGAGCCTCTCTATGTGCCATAATCCACTTGATGCATGCAGGATGAATTTTCAGGCTATTCCGATGGATGGATGTACAGGTGATTTGTCACAGAGACATCTGGGGGTCGCAGTCATACGGCAGGGTCAGCACTGTATGGCACGTCCGTATACCCTCCGGACGATCTCATGCCCAATGCCCATGGCCAACAATTTAGAGTAATGAAAACCATCAGTCATTTCAGATAAACAAGCCCTCTGATAACTGACACTTCCGATGAAATGCTGCAAATTGGTGCTTGTCCCTCTGGTACCCTTGGGTATATGGGAATACTTAACCTTAATGCGCTTTTTAGTGGTATAGCCAAGGAACTGGGAGCGAGATTTACTTCAGTGGTCTTGATTTATTGAAAGACTAACAAATTCAAGCGTATAGATGTTACATATACACTTCAATCTGTTAGTATAGACAGGTTTGGGCCAGATCTTGAGGTTACTGCCCAACCTCTTTCTTTTATGAAAGTGGAAGGACTGAAAGTGCAGAAATGGTTCTTGCTGAACTATTTGAAGTTGGTCTGGGTAAATGTAATTTCCTTAAGTTTGATTGCATCATCTGTTGGAAAAGATATTTGCCTGGAGCCTTTTCGCTTTAGTTTGTATTGACTCAGAGTTGTTAATGAAAATTAGACATTTTTTGGTCTGAAGGCTCTTTTAAAAGTTTTCTTACCGTCACACACACTTAAACATCAATTCCAATTTTGTTACTCAGTTTTCTGTTGCCTAAAAATCCATACTTTAATGATATCTACATCTTTCTGGGTTGCTCTCAAATTAAAGATGCTGTTAAATCAAATCTGGTGTATTGTGGCTTTAGTTTGTGTCTGTTAGCTTTGGGTCCATCTATATGCTTGTGTGCTGCTCAAAGTTGACAAAACAATTTATATATATATTAAAAAAAGAATATCTCTCTCCATAGTAGGAGCTGCTTCTGGCTAGCAATTGAAAGCTGTAAATCATGGGCTGTTCAGAAAATGCAGTAAATATGTATTGTGCACACTGTTTAAGTGTTCTAGTATGCATACAGTAAAATATTAAGAGAGCTACTGCATTTTCCAAAATGTGTTGCAACAAAGTATGTTGCATGAAATACCGAGTCAGTTGCATGTTTTAAAATTAGTTTCAGTTCAGATTGCTTTGTTGGTTTATTTTCAGAAGGCATCATTTTAATTGCTCCACTAAAACGCCTGCAACTCGCAAGATCACATGGAACGTACATCATCAAAGAGTGTATTAGTCATACTCAGTCAAATTACTTGATATCTCTAATGACTATACAAACCTTTAAAGTAATTTTTTGATGTGTGTTTATTTTGAGAGAAAGCAAATGATCTGAAAGGAGAGAGAGAGAGAGAGGGAGGTGTGATTGGAATAAATCCATCTTTAATGCAAGCTTTGTGAATGTGTCAGGATGAGATGATGATGATGGGCTAACGGAATGGAAACCGTAGATGCAATATGCCTATATCTGTGTTGGTAGATGAAGCCAATATAAGAGCAAGTTTTGTCTTTGAACTTGCAGTAGCAGTGGCTGCATGTTTCACTGGCCATCAGGAAAGATGATCGTGCTGTTGTCTTCCTGTGACGAGAGCTGCAGCGACATTCACACACACTGAACTGTCCATCAGCGCTGTAGGCATCGACTTTTCACTCTGAGAGAGAGATTTTAGGAATGACCTTGTCCACACGCATCATCTGAAATGCATCTAAAATCAGTCTGGTTTTCTTTAGATGTTTCTTTATTTTGTTCTTTCTTGTTATCATGACCTTTCAAATAGGAATAGTTCATCCAAAAATGAAAATAAGCTGAAAATGTATTGAACCTCAGGCCGTAGATGTAGATGAGTTTGTTTCTTCATCAGATTTAGAGAAATGTAGCATTGCATCACTTGATCCTTTGCAGTGAATGGGTGCCGTCAGAATGAGAGTCCAAACAGTTGATAAAAACATCACAATAATCCACAAGTAATCCACACCACTCCAGTCCATCAATTAACGTCTCATAAAGCGAAAAGCTACACATTTGTAAGAAACAAATCCATCCTTAATACATTTTAACTTCAGACCGACACATTCTGGCTAAATGTGACCCTGGACCACAAAACCTGTCATAAATTTTGCGAAATTGAGATTTATACATCAACTGAAAGCTGAATAAATAAGCTTTCAATTGGTGTATGGTTAGGATAGGACAATATTTGGCAGAGATACAACTATTTGAAAATCTGGAATCTGAGGGTGCAAAAACATCAAAATATTGAGAAAATTTGTTTGTTGTTAAAGTTGTTCAAATGAAGTTCTTAGCAATGCATATTACTAATCAAAAATGAAGTTTTGATATATTTACGGTAGGAAATTTACTAAATATCTTCATGGAACATAATCTTTACTTAATATCCTAATGATTTTTGGCATAAAAGAAAAATCTATAATTTTGACCCATACTATGTATTTTTGGCTATTGCTACAAATATACCCCAGCGACTTAACACTGCTTTTGTGCTCCAGGGTCACATATAATCATAATCCATAATAAAGCTTCCTCCATTGAAAAAGTCCATCGCACATCAAAATCCACCTACATACTTGTTTAGAACTATTTTGGACTGTTTATAAATGGAGCTTGATCTGTGCATATTTCTCTCCTGATTCAGACTAGATGCCTTTTCATTGGAAGAAGCTAAATTATTGATAGAGGGTTTTCACAGTGCCATATAAGAACCATTTTAGGTTAAAAAATTTTTTTTTTCCCTTAGTGTGAAGAACATTTTAATATTCTAAAGAAACGTTTTACCCTCTTTTTGTCCAATAGAAAGGTTCTATGGATGTTAAAGATTCTTCATGAAATCATAGATTCCAAGAAAGCACCTTTGTTCATAAGAGTTTACTGTACATAAACAAATGAATGCTAAAATGTTGATTTTGTTTCCTGTTGTTGCTGTCAGAGAGGTTAAGTCCACCGCTGGACATTCAGCTGGAGACGGTGAACTGCACTGCATTCAGTGTCCGGTGGAAAATGCCCCGTAGACACGTCAGCACTATCACTGGCTACAAGGTACAAATCCTGCCATCTTTTTAAATCATAAAATTGTGCTTTAACTGTTAAAAAAAAAAATCGGTGCCTCTCTGCTAATTGCATAACATATTGATTGCTTGATTCAATTCAATTCAAGTTTATTTGTATAGCGCTTTTTACGATACAAATCGTTGCAAAGCAACTTTACAGAAAATGAAGTTTCTACAATATTTAGTTTGATTCCCAGTGTTTATCATATGACAGTGATAACTAAATAACAGACACTGCTGCTCACTTATTTAGTCAGACAAACCATTTTTTCCACCAAAATAGGTCCGTTATTAGTGTTAATTTTATATCATTGAGATACTATTACAGTTTTTATTAATTTTTTTAATTTTTAGATTTTATTTTAAAAATGTCTGTATAATTTTTTATGATTTCTTATTTTAGTTTTAGTTATTTTAGTCAAATACTTTATCAAGAATTGTATATAAATAAATATATATATATTTTTTTAATTTTTAGATTTTATTTTAAAAATGTCTGTATAATTTTTTATGATTTCTTATTTTAGTTTTAGTTATTTTAGTCAAATACTTTATCAAGAATTGTATATAAATAAATAAATATATATATATATATTATTTCAGTTAATGATTTTTTTTCTTCTTTTTTATGATTTTAGTTTTAGTTAACTGTAATAATCCAGGGATGGTTCTTGAGTAAACAACTTTGTGAAGGCAGGACTATAGCCACCATATTGAGTGTTATGATTTTGATATTTATATGAGCTCACCATCAGGTCCAGTCATACTGAAGTTCCATTCGTTGCCACTAGTGGTGCAGAAATGGCACACTTCTCCTTTAATTACAGACAGAAGTGATTACTAATTGACCTACTGTACATGTGTGAAGAAGTGAAGTGCTTTGGGTTTTCCCCCTTTATCCTATTTGTATTCATCCTATTCATCTCTGGTTGCTTGTTAGGTTACTAAGAATCTCTGTGTTAACATGTTAATGCTGTTATGGTTGCTTATGGGATAAAATCCATCAGGTATCTGTCTGTTGCCAGATTGTGATTACAAGGCTCTCTTATTTTTGCTCAGATTTCCACACTAGTGCTGTATATATGTAACCGCAGGAATGATTTACCAATGATGGGCCATTCTACATGGTGTTCATGTAAATATTTATTTATTTTATTGACCAGGTGTTTTACACGGAGATGAGGAATAATCGTCCGACTAGCAGTGCTGTTGCCCTGGAAGTCCCATTGAGTTTGGAAATGCTCACAACTGTATGTCCCATCGCTTTAAGATTATTATTGTTATTATTATTATTATTA